GCCGAGTCTGGCGCAAACGACATGGTTGTGTGCAAAATGCGCTGGCCAACGCTGTCGACGGGGACGGCGTTGTCGACCCATTCCAGTTTCACGCAATGGCCCTTTGCATCATATCGTTCTTCGACCACTCTCAAATGTACGTGCTGTCCCAGAGGCAACGACTCAACAAACTCGCGGGATGGCCGGAACGCAAGCGTCATGTGTTCGGCAATCACGTGGGCGTGCTTGGGAGGAAATCGTTCCAGGAGCACCTGTCGTGTCTCGTTGGAGAAATAGATCGCTGCAATATACACGTCGCCTTGCAGGAGTAGGCCGACGGCGCGGCGGTTGTCGGCAAGACTGAACGACGGCTCGAACAGCACGTGGACTTCGTTGGGATGGACAGACACGTGCGGCTCCCACCGATGGTGCATGCGCAGAATGACGTCGATGCCTACGCCGTGGGAGTTGCGCAGCCCCGTGCGAATTGCCGTCGACACGTCATCGCAACCGACTTCGACCACCACGACGCGGTACTCCGCTTCCAACGCGGCTAGAACGACATGAGACAAATGACAAGGACGATGTCGTTACCCACCGGTGCGGTAAGGCTCGTACTCCCACAGGCACGAATGTGTATTGTCCACAATAACGACTGGCGCAGACGCCTCGATGGCGTCGGAGAATGCTCGCTTACACGCGTCGTGGGCGGCAGTGAGTTGGGATTTATCGTGGTAGTACCCCAGTGGGGTGTCGAAGTACGTGTCAGCACTGCACACAGCAACGTCATGGCCGAGCGAGCGAGCCTACAACGGTGGTTATACCTGAAAGCCATCACACAACGTACCATTGCTTGGATCGTTCGTGAGAGCGTGCTTTTGCCACTACCCGGCTGACCACGCATGATAACGACGGTCTTCGGTTCGAGAGGCACCTGGTCTTGCAAAGCCGAGCGCAAGGACGTACTGGCTAGTGCTGGTTTAGCCTGCGACGAACCGAGCGTCCACACCGAGAGGATGGATTCTAAGGTGTGCGTCTCTGCCAGCACAAGAGTGCGCAGGTCGAGCGGTGCACTCCACCTTTGGCGGTTCGTCTCGGCTATCTTGTCGTGGAGAGACTGGAACGGGGACGTTTCGTTCAGCGACCAGAGAACTACCGGGCGAAGCTTCTTGATGGCGTTGGCGTCGAATCGATTGCTTGCGTGGATGCCGTGACTCGCAAGCTTGAGTTGGATCGAGTTGCTCGTCTGCTCACCATTTAAATGTCAAAACGACAAGGGGATATTTCCTTGCCTTGGCGAGAAATGCTTGCAATTCTTCCGACAGTCGAAGGGTTAAGCGTAGGCACTTTCCACGTTTGGCGTTGATATCTTTCATCTGGAGCGTGCAACTCGCACTGCCTGCGGAAGCACCAACATCGCTCGAGGATAGGATATCCTTGACCACTTGAAGCTGAATGTGGGACTGGATTTTCATGCTCAGCAGGACGAGCGACGTTTGACCAATGTCATTGTCAACCTCCCACGTGGTGGTATCGGTCCACGTTTCCTTCACTACACGCAACCGCCGATTCAGTGAGGCACAACAAGACAATAGCATGCCATACGATGTTGAGCATGATGCACCAAAGCAGGATCGTTGAGTAGGAGCTATGCGTGCACTAAGCTCCACGTCATGAATGGAATGGCATACCTGAACGTACAGCGTGCGGTTCACGGAGCCACCACCCTCACCACCGTCTTCATTCGAAGGAGGCGACTTTCGATGCTTTGCAACGTCATTCGAGTTCTTGATGCGCTTGTTCTGGCGGACCATTTCGTGGGGCCTTTCGTGCTTGAGCGGACGAGGTGGATCATGCATGGCACTGAAATGCAATATGGACCATCACTCACACGTTCCGGATAATAGCGTCGTCGATTGGTCATCATGTCGTTATCCGTACATGCACCAGACACAGGTGCCACAGACCAGGACCAACATGACCGACGAGGCCGACTTTGACGAGAGCGGCAGCAGCTACGACGGATTCAGCGACGATGGCAGTGAACAAATCGATCGCATGTGGATGCAACAAGAATCTCGGGCGATGGAGCGAAGGTCGCGAACGGTAAGGTGGTTTTCGGATGCGGTGTCAAGCATACTTCATGCAAAAGTAGGTTGGATTCCGAGAAGGAGTTGACGCTGGCAAAGAAGAAACACTCCAGGAAGGTTTTAATGCAGGGTACGTTGTCGGCGCATCCCAAGGATTTCGGAGCGGCGTGTTGCAGGGCCTTCTCCGAGCGTATACGTCACAATTCCCAAACCTCGTCTCGTCCAACCACACACAGCTCCTGGCTGCCATTCGTGCAAAGGAACAAGCATCGATCGATCGCGGCGACATCCCATCCACAGATGCTTCTGACATGGATGCCGTGCATAACGTCTTGGCCCCGGTGTTCCCGAACTTGCATGAATGGGCTCCATGTCATGACAAAGCCAACCACGTGCCGATCTCACGCCCCACTGCAGTCTCTGACTAACGAATGCGAATATCGGACTGTACTTTTCATCTTACGATATACTCCAAGCGCTGCCTACGACAAGTCGGCCCCGCCTTGAATCGACTTGGCCGGCGGGCGATACACCCTCGGCAACATTTTTCTCTGCAACCCGTTGAATGTATACCGTGGCCTGCCCACGTTCTTCTCCGCAACCTTGATGCGCAAGCCGTACTCGCGCATGACGTCCGCGATGGGCTCGATCGTGTCATACATGTCGACCTTTTCGTTCGACGTATTGTGCACCATCCGCGTCTGTTCGAGGGTCACGCTCATGGCCGTGCGATCCTTGCCAGATTTGCAAAACGTGATGCGGCCGCCGTGAAGTTGCCGCGTCAGGTCCGCAGCCACGAGGAGGAGGCGGTAGTTCTTTTTGGCCGTTTGGCGGGTTTCGTCTGTGACAAGGGACTTGAGCGTCGCGAGCAGTTCGTTGACGCGGGTGACGTAGTGCATCGGGAGCTGCGTCGCATTCACGACCGACGCGACGTACGTCTCGAGTGACTTGGTGCACAACTTATTGATGTTGTGCTGCAAGTCGACCGCGGACGACCCGAGCATGTTGGCCACCGTCTGCATCTCGTTGATACCTTGCGAAAACAGCACCGGGACAACGTTGATGTGCTGGCCGTTTTGGAGCACTTCGGGCAGCACGGCAAACACCGCGTGGGGCACAGGGATGTGCAGGATGTATCCTTTCTGGTCGTCGGTCGTTTCCATGTGAATCGGGGTCGGCATCGATTCGTTCTCGTACTCGGGTTGCTGCACCAAGTGCAGCGTGAACCGGCCGAGCGTTTTGATAGCAATCCAGCTGTCGTTGAGCATCGTGTACTCTTTGCCCTGCGAGCTCACAAGGGACTCCCATTGCACGAGGAACCCATACGTCGCCCACAAGTTCAGCGACGGCTGGTCGCCGCCCGGAACACTGCAGCACGCCTGTTCCAACATGGCCAAGAACGTCGTCACGAGGGCGGTCACGCTCTGCGACACACACAGGATCTTGCGGAAAAAGTACACTTGCCGAGTCTTGTCGACGATGGTCAGGTTGCCACTGGTGCTATTCGCCATCATGATGTCTTCCAGGTCCAAGAGGCCGCGCTTGTCCGAAAGACCATGCGGCGTTGGCGCACCGCACGAGACTGTTATGTTGACGTTTTCCACGGTCGGTAGCCCACATTTGCCCGTGTCCGAGTACGTGGTGAAGTACCCCAAATGCAAATTCGTCGCGAGTGGTTGCGACAGCATGTCTTTCTTGGCCACACTGGATCGAAACGTCACCCGCTGGGAACGCTGGGTATTGACATGGTCCAGCATTTCCTCCACGTCCTTGAGGTACATCTTGAGCGTATCTGCATGCCACTGGACATCTTCGATCGCCGGCGGTGGCGCTGACAATGGAAACCGCCCAGACATGGACTCAGACGAAAAGCTATGGCTGGTCGCACCTCCGCTCGAGTTCATGGTCGCACCGCCTTTGGCAGCCAGCATCAGTTTGCGCAGTTTGTGGTCCTTGTTCAGATCCGCCAGTCGATACAACGGCGACTTTTCGACACTTCGCAGGCCCGATTCGCTTTGGAGGGCGAACTGCACCGTCGAGCACCGAATCCGAATCTGGATGTGGAGCTTACCCAAGTCTTCGCGGTCGTTGTACAGGCTGCGCCGGTCCACGGCCGGGTAAATCGACACCCACTGGTCAATGCTGAAGTTGTACGTCTGAAGTTCGGCCTCCGGCTTGGAAATCGTCCACCCGACAACGCACTGGCCGACGGCAAA